TATTCATATGGGTATGGCTGTGCTTCCATGTGTATGTGTATTTGTACGTATATTAGAGACAGAGATAAAGGAACAGGAAGGGAGAGCAATATTATAATTATTAAATACCAAAATATATCCATTTATCAGTGTCAATGATATGAATTAAAATTATTTCAATTAATTATCATAAAATAAGTTGATAATATACTTATTAATCGTTTAATTTACACATGCGTCATTCATTTATTTATCATTGTTTCTATCTTTAATTATAGCCAAGTCACTGCAATACTTCTTCACCGTAATTTGAACAATTCTTAAATGTTTCTTGTTGTAAAAAATTTGTTTTTTGTTGTTGTTACTTTTATGCAAATAAATGGCGATTAAACCAATTGACGAATCCGATATTAAACAATATCTTGATATCTGATCTTTGTAAACTGCCCATTACTTGTATTGTAAATATTATTCATTGAATAGAAGAGTATTTATCATAGAACAATTACGAATAATAATAGAAATATCGAAGCATGTAGCTACACAGCTAGGCATTTGCGGTTTTAGGGAAAAGTTAAATAACAAATAATAATCGGATTGTGCGAGGATTCGGGCTACTATCTTTAGTAGACAGAAGAATCGTGCAACTATTGCGAAACCTCTCGCTATGAGGGCTGAAAACGTAGGGAAAAGGCAGAATCAGTATTGGCTGGTACTTTGGTACGAGCAAACAAAAAAACGAAAAAAAAACAACAACAAAAACAAAAAAAAAACAAAAAAAAAAATGAAGAAAAAAAGAGGAAGTCATCTCGATGCTTTACAAAAGGTTTCTATCGGAATATTGCATCGTAGATTCAAGAGGTCTGCTTGAGATTTGCACAATTTTGTATATTTATGCAGAGTACAAAGGACAATTAATCAGCGGATAGTTATTTGGGAAAATAATACAATGATGCTCTTGTATTTATCAGAATGAGATCATTATCGTATATTGGGCATAATCGAAGTAAATGGAATGAAAATTTTTTACTTATTAGCAATATTATTTACATTGATTGTGTGGATAAAAAATTGATGTATTATTGTTGCTTGAAAAATAATACGAAAAACTTTGCGCACGTATAATTATCGTTACATAAAATATTAGTTGAGAATTGAGGAAAATGACTTTCCGAGCCTATCAAGCTGTATAAATTGAAATTTTAATGGGACAATTATTAATATTAGTAGTACGAAGTATGGGAAGGTATTGATTTTTTTCTTCGAATGTCATTGGAAAATTGTAGATTATAAATTTGGGAATAGAGTTATCGCTTATAAATCCCGTATCCTCATTTATAAAAATCTAACGTTCCTTCTAATTCGGACGAAAAATTCATTAAACCGTGTAATAACAATTTAGTAGAATTTTGTAGGTGGCATACAATATTCTTTTAATTAATATGAACATTCAGCTTTGTCATAATTTCAGTTAAATTAATCTCGTAAAATTTAAAATTCATAATATAAAAGTACGTTAAAATAAAATTTCCTAACTAATTATTTTATATATTTTGTGAGCATCGTCAATTCATTTCAGCATATAATTAATCTAATCGTTATTTAAATTTACACAAATGATAATTAAGAATAACAATTATTAATTCAAGAAATTAATAAGGGTTTCTATTATTTTTTAATATATTTTAATATAATAAAATAAAATTAATAAAATTCTTATGTGTCATTTTTTAAAACAAACATTGAAGAAAAATTGAGATAGTAATAAAGAGTGAGAAAACGGGCAAAAATAATATAAAGAGATATAATGAGTGTGAATTGATCGTATGAGAAGAAAAAACGAGCATTGCAAGAGAAGAAAGAAAAAGCACTTTGTAGTGATTGAATAATATTTTTAGATTTTCGATTAGAACAACTGTTCCTCTTTCGACAAACAACTAAAAAAAAAAAAAAAAAAAAAAAAAAAAAAAAATATATATATATATATATATATAATTTACGTTTGAAATTTGAAAGTGAATTAAGAATTTAAATAATAATAAAAGAATGTTACAGTTAAAATGAAATCTGCCGCCTTATACGAATCTAAAAAATGAAACATAATAGAATGAATGTAAAGCCAATGTAGACTCAAAAGAAATGTGATTAACAGGGAAGTACTTTGTCCATGATTAAGAAAATGAGAAAAATACAAAGGAAAAAGAGGAGTAATTCCTTTGTTATAGGAGAAGAATAATAAGAGAATATCAAGTTTGGTTTTTCAAACGATTCAGGAAAAAATCCCATTAAACACCAAATTAATTAATGTATCCAATTATTTTCAGACGTCAAAAGTGCTTCCGGCGAGCATCTATGGAACATCAGACATTTTACTTATATACGATTTTTATTTAAATGATGAAATTTAAAACTCGTGGGAAGTAGTGACTGGTTGGTGAACTTGATTGGAATTTAAAATTTAAATATGTCAGGATAAATTTAACGCATTATAAAAATATAAAGGAATCTAGAATCTAGCATACATCGTGTAATCAAATAAAAATCGCAGCGTCGTACATCAAATAAGCATTGTTAAGTTAATATTGATAATACGATTTTGCCTACCTCATATATTCAGAATATTTATTTCTAATATGCACTTGTAAATTATCAAGCTTATATGGTTTATAAGATCTTTACAACACTTCTAATCGACATAATGCCATTAGTAAAATAGTTTGGTTGGCTGTTGAATTCTTTATTACTTGTATTAATTTGTTGGTTTACTATACTTGTATCATCAACAATCGACATTGACAAAAACTTAAAAATTATATTAATTTTTATGAATTTTATAGAAATAATTCACCAATTCCTAATAACGTCGTCTATGAAAGTTTTATTTTCATTAAACATCCGATTCTGAATTATTCGACATTGCAAAAAAAAAAAAAAAAAAAAAAAAAAATCCCATTCGTAATATATTCGTAAATAGTCGTTCGACTCTTAGAACAATATAATCGTAGTATTAGAAAATTATGTTACGTGTGTTCGGGATATTTCATATAAATATACTGGTATTTTTCGAATTTATAGTTTTATAATATTTATATGCATTGTTCGGTTAATTTTCGATGTATGAAGAAATTATTGATGGTACTATGCTAGTCAAGTATCTCTTAGATTACGAACTTTACTACTATTTTGTCGAACTTTAATAGTAGTTGTGATAAACTTGGATCATGAGATTTAGAGTAGTC